TAAAAGCTTCCTAATTTTTGTATCCAATAATCATAGCCAACAATACAAAATAAGAGTATTATAAATAACAAATAAGTGGATCCCCTGGTTTGAAAAGAAATAACCCTCACTTGAAGAAATGTGGTGCACACCTGTTATAATTCCATTTCCTCAGGAGGCAGAAGCAGGAGGATCACAAATTCAAGGTCTGGGCAACTTAACAAGACTTTGTCTCAATCAATCAATCAATCAATCAAAGGCTGAGGATGAACACAGCAGTATAGCACTTGTGCAAGACCCTAGGTCCAATTCCCAGTACCACCAATAAAACAACAAAACAGGGGCTGGGGATTTAGCTCAGTAGTTCCACTGTCTGCCTCGCAACTGCAAGGTCCTGAATTCAATCCCCGGCACCAAAAAATAAAAATAAAAAATAAAACAACAAAACATATGTGATATTTTAGCCACATGACACATGAAATACATTTTGCATAGCGAAAAAGTAAAAGGTCACTTATAAATGAAAATGATTTCTTTAAAAAAATAATATTGCAGAAAACTTACAGATACTGTCTTAAAAGGAAAGTAAACTATTTCAGATTCCAGTTTTAACTACTTAACAATATCAGAAGAAAGGAAATGTATATGTAAAGATCATTTTAAGTTTTAAAAATTAATTAGCTTTATAAACTATATAGGAGAAAGTGACAATCTTATAATCCCTAAACTTTACTATTACTGTAATAATAACATGATTATGCAACTTTTCTACCTATTTAGACTTCTTTTTAAACTGAAGATCAATCTGATCCAAAAATATGCACATTATTCATGTCTGATTTGGGTAACATTCATCAACTGCCTGCCTCTATTCTGCTTTAAGACAATCCGTTTAATGGTACCTACTATGTGTCACAAAAAATAAAAATATATGTTTTGCCAGTTTAGAGACATTCAGAGTTTTATGAGGGGATGGGAGAGAAATACATAATTACAGTGCAATATAACAAATATAATTAGAGAAGTAAAATAGAGCACAAAAAATTAGCAAATATCTGAGAAAAGTACAGAATTATCAGGGAAGACCTCAAAGAAGACAGCACTTTGACTCTTGAACAGAGCCTTAAAAGTAGAGAGATATTTCTGGATTTGGGGACAATGGAAGCGCCCAATTTAAAATTTTCCTCTTTGCCCTAAAAAAAGAAAATAAAGCATGAAAGCTAAGTGAATAAATAAAAACACATCTGACCCACACCTTCAGGATGATGAGACAGAGGAGGACACAACAGCCTTCCAATTACCTGTCATTAAAAAAACAGACCAGCCGGGCGTGGTGGCGCACACCTGTAATCCCAGCACTCAGGAAGCTAAAGCAGGAGGATCACTGTGAGTTCGAGACCAGCCTGGGCTACATAGCGAATTCCGGGTCAGTCTCAACTACATAGTGAGACCCTGTCTCAAAAAACAAAACAAAAAAAACAAACAAACAAACAAACAAAAGAAACCCAGATCAAATTCCAACAGAGGCTGAAGGCTTGGGAGACTATGAGACACTGAAAATGAGTAGAGGGGCATGGAAGACTCAGACAAAGCAAGACAAAATCATCCCCAGAAAGAGGCCACAGTAAAAGTCAAAATGCTAAAACCAGGTGGTAACCAAGTAGGAAAGAGGATCACCTTGGAGAAGTACAGCTTCAGAGAGCAAACCACATAGACAGGAGTGGGTACCCTTGGAAACAGGGCAGTGAAGGGAAAAATGACGATCCTATAGAAACAAGACAGAAAGCTTACTAACTCCACCGACGCCCCATCAATACTCAAAAGAAACTGCTCAGGGGAGGGCGCTATGGGGTACTTTCAATAGGGAATGAACCAGTATACCAAAAAGCAGACCATACACAGAAAATTACTGTAGAAATGTGTCAGAAAAATGCTAATCAAAGCTCCCTCTCAAACAAAAACAAACGACCACAAAGCTGACCAGTAATAAGAACACCCAAACTGAAGTTTAAAAATCTCCAAACAAGCATCTAGGGGATAAGAAAAACATCCGGAAGCAGAAATGAGCAGACAAACAAACAAGGAAGAAATGAAATAACTCAGAAAAGAAATGGAAGAAGTAACAGGCATGCTCCAAACAGACGTGGGAGGATGCATCCCCTGGCAGTGAAGCACAGGGAAAGGAACTCACTGGCAAGGGGACAAGCATGCGCACTGCACAACTTGTAGCCTGATGAACTACAAATAACTACTGTGGACAGGCAGGTAGTGCCGGATCACGGAGGACTTTGAAAGACAAGATAAGGTCTACAAAACTGGGATGAGAGGAATAAACAAGGAGGAAGAGAACATGTTTTCACATTCACTGAACTCCTTTAAAAATGCAAGATCTACCACTTATTATGGTTGCCCTGATCAATTTTTTTAATGCTCTAAGCCTTTATTTGTAATCCGTAATTGGATGGATGGATGGGGCACATAGGTGACAGATTAGGTGGAAGGTAGGCAGACAGACCAAAGCACATACACACAAATAACTGTACTTGTCTGACACCGGGTTCTTCCCCAAAGTAGAGTATCAGAAAAGGACCTGTACATAGGTAATTTAAGTGGAAGAAGTAAAGGACCAAGGAGGGTGAAACTAGAAACAGACATAAGCTAAGCCAAAGGTACTTATTGACATGGTCACTGCTGTGGATAAATGGAGCTCAGTCTTGCCTGGGCTCTTCAATGAACAGCTAGAATGCCCTTAGAATTGTCTGTGCAAGAATGGGGGACACATATCTCCACTGGCTCCTGCACCCTCTAGATAAGGGTGTCCCAGAGGAAGCATAAACATCCCCGCACTTACAGGCTGAACATGTCTGCATGCCCTCTCATCTGCACTCCCACTGGGTGGGCAGTGGAGAAGACTGGGGCAGAAAGGGAAAGATACACAGTGAGTGATATCCGCATACTGCAAGCCAAAGCCTGCATGGACAGGTTTGACGATGAGGTGAAGTGGTGCTTAAGAGACAATTAACAGAGTATAGCTCAGGTCTCCTTCTGCTCTTAGTCACTGAGTCTTCAAGGAGCTAGAACTGCTACTCTATAGTGATAACAGGGAGGAACTTATGTAGAACTCATGGGATATTTCTTGTTGCTTCTATGCCCATGGAATGATGAACAGGATTTGCAGCAATCATAACTCAACAAAAGCAAGGCAACTAAAGGCTCACATCAACCCGAGATAAAGGTCTGAATCACACAAGTCAAGTTAACATCCTGCTTGGCTGTCCATCCCTCCTGCTCGATGACCTATTAGCCAATGCCCCAGATCTCTGTGCATCAGGGTACCCCAAATGCCAAAGTGGTCTAATATAGTAATTATAGCCATTCACCTTGCTATTTACAGGTAAGTGCCACCAACTTTCTTTTGCCATTCCAGAATCATATTAGTTCTATAATAGGGAACCCAGTTCCATAGAAGCATCTCCAGCCCATGTCCTCTCAATACTGCTTTCTCTCTCTCTCTCTCTCTCTCTCTCTCTCTCTCTCTCTCTCTCTCTTTCTTGGTACCAGGGATCAAACTAAGGACCTTACACTTGCAAGGCAAGCAGTGGAGCCACTGAGCTAAATCCCCAGCACTGCATTCTTTATTTGTTGAAATAAGTGTTTTCTTTGGGTCCTCCAAGAAATCAGACGATGTGTTCTCCTATCTCACATAAGAAGTCAACTCTAATACTTTCTCTTTTCTGAGACTTCTGACCCACCCTGCCAAAGACTGTGTACCCTTGCATATTTATCAACTGTATTTTAGGTCATACTGCTGTTCAAGCTTAAAGAAACCATCCCAGCAGTATATTACAACTAGGTTGCTCTGATGTTTAGTCCAGAGTTATGAATAGTGCTCCCACTGTAACAGAATATGCTTAGTGTCAATAATTCTCCCTTATTCACCCCTATTCTCTTCTCCTTTATCACTCCTGCTCCAACCAATCATTTCTAGATCCCACATGTTCCTTCTATTCCTATTGCCATATACTGCATTAGCTGGATCCTGGAATTATCTGCCTGAATATTCTCTCCCAGAATAAGTACAACATCCTGATTAAACTGTGCTGAGACTGTGTCCAGTTGCTCTTTTGGAAGCAAAAGGAGAAGGGATGGGGCATATCTTGAGGCCAAGCATCATCTTGTGAGGCATTCACTTTGAAAAGATCTTTGCATGGTCTCCAAACAAGGGAAGATTCTTCTTATCTAACAAGATGTTGATCCTGCCTGTCCCGAACATTCCGGGAAATACAGAGATTCAAGATTCTCATGTTCATCTACCTAGACAACACATTCTGAGCTCTCAGGAGCCGCTATTTCCATATTAGGGCCCCGACTTTGGCCCTGAACACCCATCAAGGGTATGCTGGAGAGGCAGAACCACTGTGAATAATAGAAGGAACTGATAAGGGTGCAGCCTCCCACAAGTGTGGGAGTTGGTTAGTCTATGTAAGACTGCCAGTCCTACATCTGGAGCTGAGACTAAAGATATCAGGGCAAGTAGCTGGAAAGGCAAGTGTCCTAGTCACTATCTTGTCACTGAGATCCAATACCCAACACCTACAACTTAAAAGATGAGTTTACTTTTGACTCATATTTTTAGTCCATAGTCCACTGACTCCAAGGTAAGACAGCATGGCCAGGGTATAGTGCAGGCACAGCTGCCCAACTCACGGCAGAAAGAAAGCAGAGAGACAAAGGGAGGAGCTGGGAAGGAAGAAACACTTTTCCAGGTCATACTCCCAGTGACCTGCTTTTCCCACAAGACCCCACCTCCTAACAGCAAGTCAGCAATAATATGCTATAATCTAATCACATTTCAAAAGCCCCACCCATTGAGCATATGAGGCGTCTGGGAGGCCATGCAGATATAAACCATAACAGAAAGCCAGATATGAAGTGAGAATGAACCAGGATAAATTAGAACTCCAAAGATAAGCTGGAACCCACGAGGATAAACAGCCCATATTATCTGTTTCCACTTTCAGGCCTCCAACCTCAGTGATGCTGAAAGCCTGCAGAAAAACTGTACCTACTGCCCCGGAATCCTAGAAGCTAATGGACAGAATCTAACAGGAGCTAGGGGAGCCACAGGCCTGGCCACTGCTCCATGCCAACAATGTGACATAGCAGATCAGCAACAACGTGTGGTGCTGGAACAGAGCCTAGAATCATCACCAGCCTTTAGACAGAAAAGATATACAGGTGCTACTTCACTTCTGCCCTCCAGTCTCACTCAAAATTATTCTTGTAGCTGCTACTAACCCAAAATCCAGAAGAAAGTTCTGGGAAACCTAACTCCCGGCTAGCTCCATGGACACATTACAAACCCATACACAAAGTACACTGCTCTGCTCTCCTTATGATTAAGTCCTGGACCTCATTTTTTTAGCATGACCTGATTTATGGCCACTGGGACTGAGGATCTTTCCAAATGCTTCCATGGAAGTCCTCTTTCCACAGCACGCATTGACAATTTGCTAATCTGTTGTTTTCAAGGTTTTCAAAGATAAAAGAGGTTAGTTATCTCACAGCCCTGCAGTGACCACTGTCTTCAGATTACCTGAGTCCTTGAGTTATCACATAACCCAACTCTTCACCTTCCATTCAATGCTAGTCCTAATCCCCTGAAGATAAAGCCTTACAGTCCTTGTTCAGCTTTACCCGTAAGTAATCCACTCCAATACCCCATCCAAAGGTATGCTTTCTAGTAGGTACTAAGCTGTTTTCGCCTGGAGACATTTAAAAGTAGTTTATTTGGAAGGTGACACCAGCGAGAAGGAGGAATTGAGTGAAATAGACAATAAGGAAGAAACAACGCAAGGATGCACTATCAACTCAATCTAATCTGGATTTTTTGAGGAACACAGAGAATGCTTCTCAGAATTTTCCACTCTAAAATCAATACAGAGAAGGGTTTCCTATCAGTTCTCATACCCCATTAGTTAAAAGTTACCCTACTGGGACATTAACACGCTTGGCCTCCTTGAATGTGCATTTGTGCTGGATGAGCCAGCTCTGACCAAGGTCCTTAAGCCTTAGAGTGGGAATCAAAGTCCTGGGACAGGGCTGGGGATTTAGCTCAGTGCTGCTGCTGCTGCCTGCCTTGCAAGCACAAGCATCTGAGTTCAATCCCTGGTACCAAAACAACAACAACAGCAACAACAAAGTCCTGGGGCCAAAAAATGGAAAAGGTGTAGTATGTGTACTTCAGGTAAGCTGATATCAACAAAGAACTGTTTGGCACAGCTGCAGCTGGACTCCAGAGTGGGGCAGAAAGGGTTAGGGTTGTGCACCAGAGGTGTCAGATATAATACTCATCACCACCTGAGGATTAAATAAAATATGCAAAACTCTTGGCAGAAATATGACAACAAAGCTCAGTAAACTATAGCTGTTATCATTAGGTTAGACACAGAACTAAAACTGCAGTAGTGGCAATGGTGAGCAATAAACAGAAAAAGGAGACATTTCAGTTATAATTGATACAACAAGGAGGGAAGTTGGTGAGCAAGGAGAACAGAAGACAGAGGAAGAAATCTAGAATGTTTCTAGCTAGGGTCCTAGCAGGATGGAAAATGGTAACGTCACTAAATGAAACAAAGCTGGAGGAAGGAGCATTATTTAACTTGAGAGATCTGTGACCATCCAAATGTTTTATGTTTGGTGGGTGGCTGGAAGTATCTAACAAAAAATTCAAGAAAAGGGTGCAAGCTGACGGATGATAGTTCAAGCCATAACAATTCCTTGATTTCTAGCAAGAGCAGAAACAGTTACAAGAAGAGAGAAGCAGCCAGTGTAATAAGTTAAAAGTAGTATAAACTGCTCTTGCAAAAACTGGGGGAAAGGAGAATAGTAATAACTACAGGCCACAGAAGTTTTACATGTTGTTGTTGTTGTTGTTGTTGTTGTTGTTGTTGTTGTGTGTGTGTGCTTGTGTTTTGTTTGTACCAGGGATCTAACTTGGGACCTTGTGCTTGCAAGGCAGGCAGCGGCACCACTGAGCTAAATCCTCGGCCCTGTTGTTTTTTTAACAAGAAGATTCAAATGTGTTTGAGGCAAAGAAAGCCTGAGGATCACAGAAAGGGGAGGAAAAACTGGAGTGAAGTCTGAAACATGGAAGATTTTTAAAAACAGGTATTAGGAAACAATCTGCCTTGATCCTATTTAATACGCTTGTGTTTGTTTTTAATACATCAACTAGAAAATGTATATTTAACATCTCATTTCGTGGGACCAACCAAATAAGGTTATAAAATAGATTTTTTTAAATAAAACCTTGTCTTTTTTATTCAACATTACAAAACATAAGCTTCTTAGATTGATTTAGTTTCAGTCAAAAGGTGACAATTGTATGCAGTGAGAAAAAAATCTTCTGCTATTTGAGGTTGTTTTTTCCCTTTTTGTCAGGAGGTAAAATTATTTATAAAGCAATTTTCAGATAAGCTCCAGTTTAGGCAGTGCCAGGATGGTACTGACAGCACATACATTGCTCTGAACTCCAAAATCTTAACTCCTTCTAGAGGGTCCAATTAGCCTGATTCTAGCAAATACATGAGAGCTGAAAAATAAGCTAAACAGCTAGCACATTAAGTTCCTTTTAACTGCCAGGTGGTAAGCTATTCTGAAGCTGTTTAGATTTGTGGTTGGGCCTCAACCCATGTCTCTGGACAGCATTCTGCTGGAGGCAGAACAAAGTTATATTTAATGTCTGTGTACTTTGAAACAATACTGCTCACTTTTCACTTATTGCCAGTGTCACTTACCTTGAAGACTCACTGTATTTTTGGTGTATAAAACAGCAGTGTTTACTTATCCAAGTGATTGTGGAATTACATGATTGGGCCAATATGAAAACTGAGTCCATAAGAAAACAAATGCTTATAAAACAGTAACAAACAGCCTTTTTTCCAATACATGTACCAAATAAATTTAATTTAGAAGAACTGAACTAAATATAAAACACTTCAAAAAGAAGAAACAGAACATTAAGCTTACTAAGATTTTTGGCATGATCCAGAGAACATGCTTAGCGAACTGACCTCCATGGAAATCACAGAAGCGTTTCAATGGCTTTGCCTGAAAACCTCTTTCTCTAAGCTGTTCTACATTCTATAAACTTACATCATTGCAGCATGTAAGTTTTCCATTGACTTTCTGGGTGTTTTTCTGTACCAAGAAAATTTTTTAAAGATCAGGATAACAATCTATTGTAAACAATGAAGCTATTTTTCTTGCATAAAGAATTGCCTTTTCTTCACAATTCACAAAGAAAAAAATGCATGCCCTCAAAACTCTCATATTTTCCTGCCACCAACTCTATAAATACACCTGCTGTATCCTCTCCCTCTTTCCCCCTGCTATAATAGTGGCAGGTCTCTTGGCCAGCCTGCCTACTACCCCCATTTGCACTGAATTCTGTCCCCTTCAAGCTTAATCTGGTACTATTCATCTTAAAACAATGAAATAAACAATGAAGCCTCCCTGAGTCCCACAGGCCTTTCTGAGGTCCTCTCTTCAATCCCTTCCAGAACCAAGTCTCTCAAAAGTTATCTTTTCTTGCATTCAATTCTCAAACTATTCCAATCTGGCTGTTTCCACCAAATCTCCACCAAAATTGCTCTTGATAACGGTAATCAGTGGTCAGGCAAATATTCACCTCCTTGCTTGCCTGCAAAGCACCTTCTCTCCTGGGCTTCCATAATACCACAAATTTCCTAGGGTTTCTCCAGCTTCTTCTCCTGGCTCTTCTCTGTATCCTTTTTTTTTTTTTTTTTTTTTTTTTTTTTATTTTTTTTTTTTTTTCTTCTTCTTTTTAATTATTTTCTACCCCATTTCAGGGATTAGTTCTAAGTCCCTTTCCTCTCTTTTCCATTCTACAATCTCTCCTAACGTGATCTTACCTACTACCTAAGCTTTAAGTGTCAATTAAAACTGATGACCAGGATGTCTATCTGCAGCCAGGACAACTTTTTATAACTCCAGGCCCATTGATGGCTTAAAGAACAGTGGTTTAGATGGGACTTGAGGACAGACTGCTTTGGTTTCAAAACCAATTCTACCTACTTCCTGGGTAGTACAACTGAACAACTCAGTAATGCGCTAGCACCATTTCACTATCTGTAAACTGAAATGACAGCAATCAGGGTTATTTTATAGATTAAATGACTTGATGAAAGCACCTACAATATAGCTCATAATAAGCTTTCACTATCCACAGTGACTATTATCATATATGCTCATGAGGCCCCTCAGACTTACTTTGATCTGTTAAACTGTGGCTTATCTTTTTCACATGCCCCTGTATCCATCTATCTCTCCTCATTCACCATCTGAGAATTCTAAGGTAGAATCCTAAAATGACCTCAATGATTCTTGCTTTTGTATAATCTTCTCCTCTTAAGCAAATGAATATGATTGTGATATCACTCTTGCAAATGGGATTTTGGAGATATAAAGTCCCAAATCAGTTGACCTTATAATAAGAAAATTATTCAGGCAGGCCTAATTCAATCATGAGCTCCCTTTAAATCTGGGCCTAGAAGTCAGAAGAGGTTCAGAACTCAAGAGAGTCTAAGCAGTTGAAAGAAAGTGACTTGCATTTGCTGACCTGAACATGGGGGACCACCGGCGAAAGAAAGCAAACTGTCCCTAGAGGTTTGTGGCTCCTAGCCGATAACCAGCAAGCTAACTGGAAACTCCGGCTGACAACTATAGGAACTAACTTCTCAGCAACAAGCAGGAACTTCAAACAGGTTTTGGCCCAGAACCTCCAGACAAGAACCCAGTCTGGCTCACTCCTTGGTCTCCACCTTGTGATACCCTGAGCAGAGAGCCCAGCCAGGACTTATAAAACTTCTAAACAAAACTCAAGATGAACTAAGAAATGGGTGCTATTATAAGCCACTACATTTGTGATAATTCCTTACACGGCAATCAAAACTTAATATGTCATCTCAACAAACAGCTCCTTCCTACTAGAAGATTTCACATAAATACAACACTCATTTCAGTAATTTGATCTCCATATACTTCTCAAATACATTCACAATTGTTTGGCTCAATTATTACCTTTATATTCCAGCTGAACTTCTGCAATAGCTTCCCAGCTGGTCTCCCTTCATCTATCTCCCTCAGAGAAAGAGAGTCATTTTGTACGATGCAAAACTAATCTCACCACTCCCAACTAGAAATCCTTCAATGGCTTTGCACTGTACAAGATGTCTAAACATTTTATTACAACCTACAAAGCCCTGCATGAAATGACTCCAGCTATCTTCTCAGCTCCATTTCCTGTGGCTCTCCTACTTGGATGTGCTGTTCAAGGCAGAGAGGCCTTTTCTCCAGCAACCCCAAAGTGGCAAGCCATTTCCCACTTTCAGACCATCTGTGTGGTGTCCTTTGACAGAAATGCTTAAACATTACCACTTCACAAAAACCATTCCCTCACACCTCACACCATGTCAGGACACCCCCTTAGGCTCTATCACAGAATTCTGCCTATCTTCAGTTTATCGCACTTGTAATCATTTAGTTAGTACTGAGACCATGTAGTTCACGTTTCTCCCTCAATGTAGGAGCCATAACTAACCCGTTTCCTACTAAAACACAGCATGTAGGACAGTATGAGACCCATAGTAGGAACTCAATAATCCGTGGCAGACTAATAAATCTGTGGCTGGTTTTTCCCAATTTATACATGACAACATTAGGTCAATGTTATGAGTTTCAATAATAAAAAAACATTGAAAGTTCATTTGTGTATACCATCATTAGATTTGCTCCATTCTAGCCCAAATTACAATGTTCTTTACAAATAAGGGACAGCCATATAAAGCAAAAACAGGCAGAATCATGACAGTGGATCAGCGCTAAAATTTGATGTCTCCATCCTCCTAAATGCAACATCATTTTTAGGTACAAAGTGTAACATTATTCTTATTACATATTTAAAATAATTGTTCCTTTAGGAAAAACACATAACCTTACTTCAGATTACTGATGTGTTTAGAGAACAGAGTACTTCAGATGACTGAATTTTCCAGTTAAGGATGGGATATTCCACACGTGTAGGAAACTGGGGATATAAACAGAGTCCTATGTATGACTGCCACATTTTTGCTTCTTGAATTCTTTTAAATGTGGCTCTATTTTATTGATTTGTTATTTAGTATTTTTTTCAAAACTCACAAGGGCTTCTTACTAGAGACCTCACATTTTTTTTCTCTTTGGGAGAAACATGGAAATAGTATGAATACAATATGACATAGATTTTAGTTAAGAAGCCAAACATGTCTTCCCATGTTTTCAATATTACTTATGGTATGCATGTATGTGTTAAAAAATAAATGTACTTCCTGGGCGTGGTGGCACATGCCTGTAATCCCAGCACTCGGGAGGCTGAGGCAGGAGGATTGCTGTGAGCTCAAGACCAGCCTGGGCTACATATTTCCAGGTCAATCTCAACTACATAGTGAGACCCTGGCTCAAAAAACCAAAAAAACAACAAAATAGATAATAAATGTATTTACATATTACATAGTTACTTAATCTTTGCCTTGGCATAGAAAAGATAGAAGGCACATTAGTATGATTAATTAAAGCAGAAGCAAAGAAGAAAAAGAAGAATGAGCACACAAATGGCACCAGGAGGTGACTCAAGATGCATGCACCATCCCACTTTTAAGTGGTGTGGGCCTGAGATTTGAAGCTCTCATGCCATGACAGAAGAGGCCTGTCCAGGAACTCACTTCACAGCATTCCTGTGAAAAGCAGAACAGCTGGTCCAAAGCAACACAGCTAGGACTGGTACTACGATCAGAAAGGAATCTCTATGGGGAGTCCTTAGAGGAGATGGCATTCTAGTTCCACAAAGAACACACTTGTTACCATTTTCTACGAAAATAGTTGTTTAAATAACAGGCTGTTTCACATTTGGTCATACTGCGTGACCTATGCCTGGAGCAAAATAATCTCTTGGTTGATCCAATCTTAAGCAAGATGTATTAGTTCCCTACTGCTGCTATAAAAGATTACCTTGGAGCACAATGGCACATGCCTGTAATCCCATATACTCAGGAGGTTGAGACGGGGGGATAATAAATTCTA